CTTCGTATCTGCCGACGACATCTTCGGACACCATCGCCCCCCTCAGGACTCGCCCCTTGGGCCCCGCCCCAGCCTCTTCCTGCCTGAGGCAGCGAATATCGTCCGGGAATCCCACGAGGCCGCACCAGCTCGCGTCAAAAGCCTTGTCCAGCGCATCCAGGCGCATGCCAAGTCGGACTTCGAGATGCGCTATGCGGACGATCTCGAACGCAGCGCCCACGCTCTGAAGGGCCACCTCGAGCTATCGCCGGTTGCTCCCCAAAGCCTCGACCAGGTCAAGCAGGCGCTGCAGAGGCACTCTTCCCAGTGCCGCTCATACAGGGACGCGCTGTATGCCGCCCTCGAGGCTGCCTTTTTCGGCCTAGGTGGTCGAAGCACTACCCTACTGCCGCGCATTTGTCCAGCCTTCTTCTTGTCACAGCTTGCAACCTCCCGCTTAAAAACGATTCCTACCTCCTGGAGGCCAATGCCCACTTTCATTAAGCAATGGCAAGGCAGATACGTGCCTCCGAAATGAGTAAGAAGCCAGAGCTCAGGAGGAGAACAACGCCCTGGATGCGGTTATGCCGAAATGAGGGAGATGGGGATGGGCCGTCATTACGGCTACGGCTGACTTGCGCTCGAATATAAAAATACAGCCCTTGGCGCGCGGAATGTATGTGAATACTAAGCTAAAGAGGAGAAGAAAGGTTGAAGGGAAAGGTGTTGCCGAGGGCCGTATCTTTATGCTGTCAATCTTGCCTTATCTAAGCTCCAGCCAATCAGTTATCAACTCTATCAACCACCACTCGTGGTGCCGTGCCATAACAAGGCCAAGCGCGAGCTCGACGAGATGGACAAGGAGCTGGCCAAGCGCATGAGCGCGGCCCTGACGCAGGTGCTGGACGTCTCCTCCACCAGCTGCCAAGGCGCGCCGAATCGGCAAGGGTCCCGACCCCTTCCCGTTCTCTTGATGGAGTACTTCACGCACGTAGGGCTGTGCGTGTGAATCTGGGTGGCGCCGGCACAGAAATTGGCCTCCTCCTCAAATGCGGCGGCGAACCCTTCTCTGTTCTGGAAAAGCGAGGATATGTCCGATGTCGCCGACCTCTCCATCCGTAACGAGGCAAACGCCTCTTCGTCAAGATCCTATACTTCGTTATTCCTTGTCGTCATTCTGGGGACTCGTTTCCGAACGAACCTCTGTAAACACGCTGTCAACGTACTCCATAACTCGCTCCCGATACGCGGCTTGGTCCTCCTTCCGAATGTCTGTCAAGAGGGTGCTCAAGTGCGTGTTTCCCTGAAGCCAGAGGAGCCCGTGGAGGTGCAGCGCGCCACGCTCGTTCGTCTCCACGGCGCCAAAGTACTGGCTGACGCGCCCAAACACCGAGTCTTCCCCGACTCGCACATAGTATTGGAAAAACATGGAGATCTCCCTATGGAAAAAGAGGGCTGAGCTGAGAGGGTCCGAGATCGAGAGTCGAACTCTCTTATACAGCTCGCCAAGGGCTCCTAAGAAATCCTCGGCCTCCTCTGCTTCGCGAGTGCGATATGCGGCGAGCCTGAGTTTGATCGGATTCGTGATATCATTGGGGTTGAGCGTGAACCAGATGGCCGGGATCCCATACCGAACTATGGGAGACTTGATTTTTCGACGCATGGTCAAGCGACTCTCCCTCGACATAGGCTGGCGATAGCCGTAGAGCGACAAGCTCCTCAGCAATTGATTGACGCCCTTGTCCGTAGTTTTCCCGGAAGCCTCCAGTTCGGCTTGGGCCCTCTCGATCCTCGTACCCGTTAAGGATCGGATAATGCACTCGGCCTCCGCGAAATCTTTCCTCCTCAGACTCGCCAGACTCACTCGCCCGTTTCTTGACCTGACGCCCATATTGAAGACGAGGAACGCGAACACAGGATGTGTCGCAAAGCGGCCGCCGTGTCGTTGAAGTACCAACTTAGCCCATGCCTCCAGGTTCATGTTTCGTGACAGCACGAGCCCCCGCATAGCAGCCTCCGTTTTAACGCCGGTCGGTCCGCGCCCATCTCCATGCATGATGCATTCCTCGGCCTGGCGAGGCCCTCCCTTACCAAACGGAAACAACGTGGGGAACGTGCTTGCGAAGAAGCCCGCGTCAAAAGAATCGGCAAACTCGTCCCCCCTGGAGACGAGGATATACGGCTCGGTAGCACATCCGTAGCGCACCTCAGCCGATCCTGCCCACGTCCTTCCCCGTGTCTGATCCCACGAAGCAACTTCACCCATAGCCCCGCAGACATATCGCAGCCTCTCCGCATCTGCGATATCCGGTCGACGGTCGAGGTCAAACATGCCTGACGAGCTGATCTCGTGAACCCGACCCTCGGTAATGCCATGCACATCGGCTCGCTCATCCGCAGAGGCAGATTCGCCACCCACCGCATCTCCACAGACGCCCCGATCCCCCTCCAGCGATGCTAACAACTCCTGTATATCCACCGCACCCGGCTCTTCCAGGTCCCGCTCTGTCGGCGGCACGATGTGTGCCGTTTGTATCTTCTCTCGCCCCGACGGCTCGTTTCGCTCGAGGCGGTCGTAGATTTGAGAAGGCACCCCGTGCGGCAGTGCTCCCCAGCTGTCCATTTCTGCCGTATCAATACCGAGCCGGCATACAAAGGGTTGTGCCTCTTCAGCCACAACAGGGCCCTCTCGACAACGCGGCGGCGCACGGATAAGAGAGTCGTGAGGTCGCTTGCTGCTGGTTTTTGGGGCCCCTGCCAGGAGACGTGGATTTCATCCATCACCTTTAACAGCGGGTGAGGGAGAACATTGGTGACAAGCTTCCGCACGTTGTTGGGGAATACCGTGATGTGCCCCTTGACATGTCTCGGATAGGTGACCCCTTGTCTGTGCCCATCCTGGACACTATATTTTGTGATGAAACCGTAGGACGAGTTCAGCGCGATGAGCTTCTCCTCCACCGGCGTGAGGCCCTTCAGCTCGTCCGGGAACATATGCTCGCACCCCAGACGGACGTGTAGCTGGCCCGCCGGGGACAAAACCCCTCTCCGCAGGTGATTCACGCAATCTGTGCACCCGGGAATTTTGCCCCCCACAGGGAAGCAACGCCGGCACCTAAACGGTGAGCCATTGCACTTCTCAATGGGACTTGACGCCCACTGATCCCAATCGATTCCTCCAGCTCCGCCCTGGAATGCTTCCGATAACACATCATGCAGGTATGTATCTGCAAGGTCCTCATGTCGTGGAATGCCTCGTAGAAGTCCTGGACGGTTGATACCTTTCTCTCATGAGAAATAGGAGTGCACCATGCCTGGGAGTGAGACAGTCGCTCTTTCTCGGCAAACTCCTCGTCCAAAAAGGACAAAACGCTGACAAGGTCTGGCAACCGATCGTTCTCACCTCTCTCCCCGCAGTCGACGATTCTGGCGCGTTTCGATCGCGGTCCGTGGCTGCTAGGACCTGGCCTTTTCCTCTGCCTTCGCCGACCGCTCGCCCCCGCCGTTTCGAAACCGATTTGCGCGCCCTGAAATAGGTCTGCTGAGGTTCGGATACCGAGTTCCGCACGCGCTATATTCTCCGTATTGTGCGCGTCGTAGCGTCCGATAGGCTCGGGCAGTCTGGCGTCGACAGAAACTTGTGGGCCTCTGACCTCCGCCCTGCCCTGCCCGTTCTCGTTCCGCACGGCCTCGAGTGCCCGAAATAAATCCCCCGGCCTAGCAACCGGTTTTTTTGCGGACGCATCTTTCCTCCGTCTTCCAGCTTTGACCCGCTGGCGGTTCTTGTCCGCCCCGGCCTGTTCGTCACCCCTATGTGCCGTGTTCTGCCGGTTGCGGACCTCCATGTCTGCACCACCCTCTGGAACGCTTCCTGCTTGCTGCTGTTCCTTCCGTACCAAAAGCCCGAATTTGTCGAAACCGAACCCCGCCAGTAATTCCGTACCGGCTAACTTCCCGAAAGGCAGAGCGATTCCTCCGCGGTCGTTTTTCTTAATATATGGATCCTTATGAGACCAGGCCTTCAGATTTACCAGGTCGTCCGGCTCGATAGGGTTGACCGATTCGTTGACGTTGCGTCGTTGGAGTTGCTGGGCTCGTCTGTGAATCAACCTGTTCAACTTTACTGCAGCTTCGTCCCAGTCCCTCACCTCACGAGCCGCCGTTACCAGTTTGTTACAGAACCCTACTCCTCGATTCGCCCACTGGTAATATTCAACCTTGCCTTCGCCCCAGATACGCCTCACCGACTTCAGGCCTTTGGGGACTTTCGATCTTTCCAGCAGATGCCTTCCGGTGGCCTCTCGAGCCAGAGCGGTCTCAGCATCATCCTCGCCGGCCTCACTAAACCCGGCAGCCGGGATTCCGTCCACAGCGTCGTTGGTGCCATCCATAGTTGGATCCGTCTAGCCGACTTCGTTCAAGGCAACGGCTTTGCGCGGATCTGCAGCGTCGACATCGGATTCGACCAAGTCGGCGGCGTATGCTGTCCGCACCAGGAGACCAACCTGCGGCCGTCGAAAAGGGCCCTCCAACCTAGCTTGCTTATGCTCCCTTTGAAACGCATTAACCGCACCATTGCACCCTTTCCTCCCCCCGTACTTTAACCCCTTGCCCACTCCCTCGCTTTTCCATTCGCATCACGGAGCATCACAGACAAGCGCTGTCCCTGTCTGCCGGCCGGCAGCCAGCCCCTGGTCCTGGCCACCGGACTCTCTCCCGCGAGCTTAACTACTTCGCCTCGTAAGCCAATCACTTCGTTTTGAAACGCTGAACGTGACCACGTTGGCCTGTCCGTCCGTTTATCATTTTGTCCTAGCACTCGTTAGTCTTTTTCCCCTGTTCGTGTGATCAGGTCACCTGGGCGGTAGTTTAGTCGTTCGTGCACCCTACCTGATTTATATAGCTGTGCCTAGGTGTTACTTCATTCACTTGAGCACTTGCTCCGCTAGATTCGGGGATAAATCTGCTCACCCGACTTAATCCTTTTGTTTTACCTACCAGGCACTTTACCCGCATGGTATGCTCCCAATACAAACGTTAGACACGAAACGTCCCCCGCTCAGCGCTTTCGACATGTCTCGACAACCAACATTCTCGAGCATTATCCACTTGCGTGATTTTGTCGATACCGTTACGGACGATTCGATTCGGGACGCTCCGAATCACGTCGAGATCCGCGCAGACATTAACATTTTCGACGAAGATGACTTCGATAGTCCTGATGTTGTCGCCGAGCCGATTCGCACCCGCATCCACGTTTATATGACGCGAGGCGAACGAGACCTATACCTTCCCAACATCTTTTTTTATGCCGACGGCCGCTTTTCGACCGTCCTCTCCGCAGACGGTAATTTGGAAATCAGTATCCAGGCATTAAGCTTGATGAGGCACGTCCATCCACCCGCTGCAACCTCGCTTCGGCTGACGTACGCAGGCACCCAGGAGATGCGGCCGACTTCGACGAGTACCGCCGCCACTTGCCAGAACAGTGGTGCCCCATGGTGACCGTCATCGGCTCGGTCCGCGCTAGTGACGACAGCTGTCCTGAGCCTTCGGGACCCCGACACTTCACCGTCGAAACGTCCGTCTATGACGCTTCAAAGGCCGCTCCGGTACAGTTCGCTGTGACTTGCTTCTTGGAAAACACCAGGCGCTGGCAGAAGGTCAAAACGCCGCCGTCGGGCGCCTTCCTTAGCGTCACCGCGAAGGTCGCTGGCCGCACTGCTCACACGAATCGTCTGGCCCTTCGCGTCCTCGATTTGACGTACCTGCCAAGACCTCCCTCGGCCGCGCCCGCATCGACTCCAACTCCAACTCGATCGTCCAAGCGATCGACTCGCTGGGAGGGCCGGGCGGGCCCGTCTACTCCCTCCAAGAGGCCGCGCGTTTCGGACCCTGCCAACGAACCAGCGAATCCATCCGACAGTGATGCAACCCCCCCAGAAATAGCCCAGACCGGACACGACCTCCCTCACACAGAGAATTCCCCAGACTCCGCGTCCGTCCCAGCTCCTCCACCGACCGCCGCTCGTCCTGGCGACTCCCCTCTCAGCCCAGCCCGGCCTCTGACGTCGGAGAGTGGGCCTCGACCGCATCGCAGCCGCCATCTTCCGAAGAAATACGCAGACTTGGAGCAGACCGCGGTGAACCGAACGGAGTCCTAGGATATGTAGATATTAAATTTAGCCCTTTTCAACACGAGACCGCGAGAAATATCGTGGATGTACTTCAGCTCCTCCTCTTCATAATATAATGCGAAGCAACTATGACAAGCTGCCATAATTTAGAGAACAATGTCTTCAGATTGAACATGGAAATCACAGGGGAGCTGCGCAAAATCTTGATGTAGATGCTGACCGTTCGACGTCCCTTGTTGCTTTTTCGTCCATCTTGGCGTCACATTTTTCATTACGTCTCCTGTACCAGGTGACCAGTACACCCTGTTCAGAACAGACGCTAGACTAAGCCACCAAAATGCGCCATCCTAACCTCGTTACGGTAACATTCGAACGCACGCAAACGCAGCAAACTTAGATTTTTGGCATCTAATTCCAGCGCTTCCAAATTGCCAGATCCAAATTTCGTTCCTCAAGGCTCTTTTGGGCAAACCGCTTGCGGTTTGCGTCTCCTGTAGCCAGAAACGGCGGTGCACGCGGCCATTTATTAAGCCAATGAGAATCATTCTACGAAATCCACATTGACTGGTGGAATCCCACCCGTTACTGTGGGTACTCCCCAGGTCAGCCTTTAATAGGGGGAGAGCGGGAGCCCCACCCTTCTCCGCGCCCCATTTTTCAAAAGCCCTTTCGGCAAAGGTTGGCTTATGGGTGCCTTAGGCACAAATCCCCCACCCCCAAGCTCCACATCTGGCGGTCCTCAGCCCTCAAGTGCCGCTGTTGATGTGCACCGCCGACTACATCATCTTCATCATCGTCTTCTTTCCTCACGGCCATGACTGGATGAAACGTGACCCGGCGCAACATGGCTCTTGTTGATAAAATTCCCGCCGGCGATCTCGGCGATGACCTCCTCGTATTAAGCCTCGACCAAGCCCGGCAAATCAACCATTTCCGTACACAGATCCGCCTTTGCGAAACCGACACGGAAAAATATGAACTCTGCGCGCAGACCCGAGACGACGTGCTCGAGCGGCATACCGAGGTGCAGCTCCTGGTCGCTGCTTATGAGCATATCATAGTGGACGAGTGTGTCGGATACAAAGAATGGAAGGAGAAGAGAGGAGAAGGGCAGGGGTTGCCGATCAAAACCAGAGAGGATGCGGCCAAGTGGGAGAGATTTGCCGACGTGGCGCGAGGCGGATCAGATGTCAAGTCCAGATGTATCGGTCCTCTGAAAACGGTAGACCGATATTGGGGCGCAGGTTTTGTTCAGCACTACCAGTTGGCTTCTAAGGGGGTGAGATATTGCGAAGTTATCGGCGCCGCAGCGCGGGAGGTTCCTGATCTGGACGAGGCTGTGACGAAGCTGAACAGGTTGATGCTGCGGCGGCATTTGGCCACCGGGCGGGGACTGCGTCGACCGCGCGAAGTGGTCAACCCGATCGATCAGGCCGATCTAGTGAATCTAAAGGCCTGGTCGCACCGAGATTCATTCGAGAAGGGCAAAGACTCTCTTCCGTACAGGAAACTGGCTGCTGCCGACTTGCCTCCCGGTTTTGGCCTCGACAAATTTGGGCTCATGGTGCGAAAGGAATTTGCTGTCTCGTTGCCCGCCGATACCATTGAAGCGGCAGCCAGGTTCGGTGCCGATATCACTGGACGCCCGGGACCCAATGATGCTTGCAGCGTCGGCGTGCCGGGGCTTAATCCCCCGCACGGCGCCAGCCCGGGGGATTCGAACTTCGGCCGTTTTGTCGAACAGGTCCTCGATGCTGTCCTTGCACATGAGGAACCAAACAGGCCATCCGCTGCCAACGAGAGCGGTGAGAACGCTAGCTTTACAGAGCGTCATGCCGGCGCCGCCCGTTCCTCTTCTCTGGGTCGCTCCCAGTCGACAACACCTTTGAGCTCACCGCCAAAGTCCCCTCCTCTCGCCGCCTCTGCCGTTGCCGGAGTCCTATCCGGGGATGCCGCACGGGATTTGGCGGACATAAGCTCATCCGGCGATAGCGACGCCGACGATCGCCTGCACCCCGAACGACAACCATCCCGTCAGATCCTTCGCTCACGAGCTAGCGCCAACAAGTCGTATGGCAGAGCAGCGGCAAAAAATGCTCAAAACGCGGACCGCCAACAAGCTGCAGCACGACTCCGAGCACGGAGCGGCAAGCCAAGCTACCACAAAGCACCGCCGAGAAGGTTCAAACCATTCCGTCAGCCGCTCAGCACTGCGCGTTTGCAGGAGCGATGCTGTCCACCCAAAATATCATCAACGCTACTAGCGTTTTTGGACAAGATGGACGGCATCGCAACTGGGCAGATGCCTACATTCATGTTGGTCGGCGTTCCTTTTCAGGACATGTGTCATACACATCTCAAAAAGTACACAGAAGCAGTCACCAGCACGGAGTCCTTCAGGTCATCTCCAAAGGCGGAAAAGGAGCTCCAGACGGCCGGCCCTGATACAAGCGACACTCACCGGCGCCGGCGTGCCTCGCTTTCCGAACTCATCGGCACTACCCCTCTAAAACGGCTGCGGTCTGGTGATCAAGATGCGTCGGGCCATAGTTATCTGCCGGCCACGGCGAGCCTAAACGGCCGGCCAAAACGTGATTCAATTTGCGACGAAGCCTATCGCTGGCGAGTGCTTAGGGACATGGAATCAACGGAACATGAGCCCAATTCCTGGGGGAGCCAAACGGACGCATTGGTTTCCCAGATCCTGTCCAAAAGCAGGCCGCCCACGGACAAAGAAGCATACTTCCTAAGCGGAGAGGAAGCAGCCCAACGTGCCGAGCTTGGATCGGTCGATATGCCTATCTTCACGCAAGGCCAGCAGCGATTCCAGTGGAAGGGGAAGGACCGCCCAATTTTACAGTTCTTCCATCACATGGAAGACCTTGGCCTCGATCGGACTGTGTCCGTTCAGGTGCCCTCTCGCAGTTCGCTCAAGGAGTCTTCGGAGCGTAAAACGCTTTTGCAAGTCCGAAACCGGTTCCTCAGCCAGCGGTCAACAAGCGACCCCTGGAACCTTCTAGATCTGCAGGGTTCATTGCCTTTGACCCTACCGTCTTTTTTGGAAGGCGGCAACTGCCAACTTCTCCTCCGAATCCGCGATGCCATTCTGATGGGCAACGACGCTCAAAGAATAGCAGCGTCTGGAGAAGATTGGAACACGTGGCGCAACGTCGTAGAATGGGCACTCCTATCTGAAGGAGGACATAACACGGCGCCGCATATGGATAGTCACGGCTATTCAACCTGGATTACGGTCCAAGAAGGAAACATTGGCTTTGGATGGATGTCGTGCCCAAATCAGCAGGAAGAAGATGAATGGATAGCCAATCCGCATGGCTATACCGGGGGTGATTGGAGATACGTTATTCTCTCACCGGGGCATACGGTGTTTTTCCCCTCTGGCACGATCCACTTCGTCTTCAGGATACAAGGAGTACAAACATTTGCCCTCGGCGGCCACGTCCTTCAATGGTCTGGCATTGAGCGGTGGCTTGATGTGGTCGTCGCTCAACTGAAAAACCCGGAGATTACTAACGAGGACATGGCATCGAGTGCGCCAAAGTACGTTCAAGTCGTCAAGCGACTTGTTGCAAACAGGATGAAGGCTGGCCGGGTGGAAGAGATGGGCGGTCGAGATGCAGTCGCCAGACTGTCCGCCTTACTAAAGGTAAGGGGTCTGCACATCACATTTGCGACATGCAGGCTAATGATCGTTAGGATTTCGACAGCGTTGCTGGGGGCTCGCGTATAAAAATGAGCAAACCCCGAACACCCCTGCGTTAACAGAAAGGTGTGTGCATAGTCCCCTTTGGAATTTTCGTCGCTAATTATAAAGGGGACGCTCCAGATCTCGTTCATTCGATCCCTTGTCAGCCTCCTAGGCGTCTGCTGCCGACATGTGCCCCAAAACGTTCCGCCTAAGTTTGAGCCAGGGTACCGGGCCGCTTCAGAGTTGCTGCCGCCCACTGTAATAAGGGGGATAGTGGCTTCCATAAGACACCGGCGTCTCCTGAAGCGGGGTGCTCGGGCTCGAGGTTTTCTCTGCTCGGCAACCGGCGGCCTCGTGGGACAGGCAGTGTCATCTCGGTTCGTGGGTTGTCGGGTGATTGCTAGTCGTACTTGAGAAGCTGGTGTTTGCGGCGGGTGGCATGACGGGGGGCGGCAGACAAAGCTTGTCCCTGAGGCCTATGAGGAGGCCCAGGCCGATTGTCAGGGCGCTCGCCCGGTGCGCGACAGTCCTGAGGAAGTTGATGGTTCGCTCGAAGAGAATGCTGAGCTCGACAGGGTTGATAAAGCCGCGGAGGTGTTCGTCCTGGTAGACGGCAGCGAGAGTGATCATGTTGCCCCATTGACTACAAAAGACCCCAAAGTGTTAGCAGAGCATCCGATTAGATAGGATGCCTACACCGCAGCTGTACTTACGCGTGAGCAGTGCCAAACACATTGGTGATGATGAAGCGCCGCTCCTTCAGGCCGTGGAAGGCCTTGGTACTTTCGATGAGAGCCCGGATACCCTTTTTGGCATAATTAAGGATGATAGGGTCGTTGGGATCAACAACCTCGTTGATGGGGTCCGTCCAGTCTATTTCCTCTGGGTTGTCACTGAGCTGCTCCTTGAACTTGGAGTTCAGGATGGACTTGATGATGGGCCTGCAGATAATGTTGGTAGCACCCCAAAACTTGGCCCGTAACCGCGCACGAGGATCTCGGTGGCCGGCGGGTCGGTCTCGGGATCGAATTTAAATACGGGCGCAACCCAGAGGTTGGGATCGATCATGTCTGACAGCTGCTGGATCATATCGAGCATGCCGCGGTAGTGCGAACGTTCGATGCGGTCGCCGTAAAGCAGCGTGTGCGCCTTATTTAGCTGCTTTCGCAGGTACAGTTGGCCGAGGTAGCTTTTGGCTACACGCTCGTCGATACCGTTTGCCATGGCGCCGCTGAGTGGAGGGAGCGGGAAATTCTCCTCGTACGTCGAAATTCCCGACTGTGGGAGATGCAGTTCGGCGATGATATCGCTCTCCAACTGCATGCAGGACCAAAACAGAAAAAAGAACCGCGTGTCGGCGGCCGAGTTCTGGGGGACAACCTTCGTGTGACCATCGATCAGGCGGCCGAATTCGCTGAGGGCAAAAATACAAGTGTTAGCACAAGACGTGGGGTAGGCGACCTTGTAGACAGACCATGACGCCCGTGACTTACCCTCTCATAAGCTGCTGCACCTTCATCGAGGCAGCCAGGATGTGCGAGTAGCTTTCCAGCACCCGACCCAGCTGTCCGTAGTACAGACCGGCCAACAAATTTGCGTAGATGTGCCAAAAAGTGCTCCCGCCGACCTGATTTCCGATAATATCAGTCGCGAGGGCGAGGTAGTCCAGTCCAGGGATAACATCCCATATTCCTTTTGGCCTGCCCCTTAAACAGGCTTAGGAAACGTTAAGCGATGGACCCGGGCGGTAATCCAACAGCATTGGACCTGCTTGGGATGGCTCGCCTGAAGCAGGCAGTAACATTTTCGCTGCAAATTCAAATATCTTCTGTGACGTGCCGAGAAGGGAATCTACGATGCGGCCATCGCCTGCTCCTTGGACCGACATTGCCTTCCCCCGGACGTAGGATGAAATCGAATGTTCCCTTCGTCCGTGAACAATGGGAAGATCGGCATGGAGGGGCATGGAGGAGGGCTGAAATGGCCATGGAGGGGTAAGTCCCACTTATTCACGTCTTTGGTAACCCACCAAGCTCTGCCCCACACTTGGTCGCGTGAAGAAAGCAAGTGGCCGCTCCAACCTCCTGCTTCTGATGAGTCACTCAGCTTGCAGAAAGGTTCGGCGGCCTGTTTGGGAAGAAATGCGCTGAGGAGGGTTTTGTAGTCGCGTTTGGACTCTGGCCGCTGGCAGAGGTCGATTGGAATCAAAGAGACAACTGCGTCGCGCAATTACCGCCAGCACGTTGGAACCGTCAAAGCCCGGCCCCGGGTGGAAGAACGGATCCCAAGAGACATCGTGGAAGCGGCAGGCATGGCGTTGTTGTGCGTGGCATGTAGTCACGTAACAGCTCGTGGCAGTGGAGGCCGCCCGCCGCGCTATGACACCTCGTCAAATCAACCGTGCTCCCCGACCACGCATGTTCCTAGCGCTAGAAGTACCTAGCTACCCCTGCCATCCAAAATCGGCGCCGCACCCACCGCACCTAATTGATCATTTTTCTTTTTTTACCAATTAGTGAAGAATAAAATAAAAATATGGCGTTAATGGCCATGAAATGCGAGTAAAATGCATTTCATCCTGGTGAATTTGGATGTGGTTTGGTGGAGCTGTCGTTGAAAATGTCTGGATATTTTTTTGGCGGTGTGCACGCAGAAAAAAAAAGTGGAAGGCTGAGCTGGGAACGATCTCGTGAAAATCACAGTACAGGTCAGGCTCGCTAAGGAGGGGTTGTGGCCAGGCTCGATCGCTTGGGAGTGATGGTGGCGGGCAAGAGTGCGCATTGCAGATGTCGTTGTGCCTGCTCTGATGCGTGCAGCTCTTCCAACCTGGCCAGATTGCACCGAGCGCGGATGTACGTAACTTCACGTGGGATCAAAAGTACTGAAAGGGCACCAAAAGACGGTGGCAGCGCCACCTAAGTACGAGAATTACTAAGGAGACACGGGGGAAGACGGCCGTTGGGTATGCGAGGCCGCCACCCTCGCAGCGTTAAAAAGGGAGTACACACGTAATAACAAGCACTACTTCTCATCCATACACCTGCTTTCAACAACAAGAAAGCGGCTGTCCCTTCATTTCGTGTCCTGCGTTCCCCTCGGTCCTCGATCCTCTACATCTCTTCTCGTGATCTCTTTTTCTCCTGACCACCACTTTGTTGGTCGTCAAGAGACATGGCGAACCGCACTCGGTTCTACTTCTACGCGCCTACATGGGACATTCCTGCTGAAGGGCCGATTAAGATTGGTAATGTCCTCAGGTCGATCAAGAACCCAGAGACACCGCTGGCAACAGTCGTGCCGCTGTCTACCATCCCAATCGAGAAGACGGACGTAGTCATCTCGCATGCTGAGCTTCGGCAAGGCCGGTTCACCATCCTGACGAGATTCCTGGACGTCCTGAAGTTCGGTGGCGGTGTCGGTTGGGGCAACAAGTACGCAACCCCGCAGGCGCATACCATCCCTTGGCATTCTTTGGGGGCACGACCATTGTTGTCCTGAAGATGGGCCAAGACTCGAACTCCAGGGAGGTTATCGCGAAGCTACTGACACAAGTGACCTAGCGCTGAGGCGCTTCATTCGTACGAGCGACTCGTAACGAACCAGTTCTTCCCTGACGAGGATTACCTGCAACAGTGCCTCGATGCACCACGTGTGAGGCGATACCTGGAGCTTTCTCGCTCCAAAAAGCCGGTCTACGTCATCACGGGCCTCAAGACCGTCCACGGCGCCAGCGCCGAGTCACGTACGTCTCACAGCCGCGGCGGCCACCTCAAGGGTGGGGTCGACCCCACGCTCCCGAGCGGCGGCGTGGCGGCGGCGGTGGAGATGAATGCCGACCTGAGCAGGGATAGAAGCACGGGAGTGGCTTGGGGCGGCAGCGAGCCCTTTGTTCTTGCCTTCAGGGTCCAGAGGGTCTATGCACATGAGAAGACGGGCGAGATCCGCAAGCAGGGAGACTACAAGCGTGGTGCCTTCCTGGGGAACGAAACGAAGGGGGATGTCGGAGATGGATCCGTATTTTCCGTCTCGAAGACGGAGGACCCCGAGGACGAAGGGTACGGCAATATCGAGGTGACCGAGGGCGATTACGAGGTAGTCTGCGCATTCGCCAAGGAGGTTGCTGAGCGGGAAGGCTCCGGGCAGGTGGAGTGAGGGGCCACATCTTGCAAAATGCCTGGTAGAAGAGAACTGCCACACAATTCCCAATTTAGGTTTGGTACTGCGCAAAATATCTCTTCAGGCGTGGAATGCGCACAAACTGAGAACTAAACAAAGTACGATTTCCTGCTCCCTTATCATCCCTGGCCCAGTGGTCTATCATTGAGAGAGTAATTCCTTGAGTTTCCTGTGCACCTCATCCTCGCCCTGGCCAAAAAAATTATGGGGATGCGTGCTGAAGTGGACATTGACGTAGCCGTCCGGATCCGGCTTCTTGGATTTCCTACTCTCCTGCGCGATGCTTTCAAGTACACTCTTCATCTTATCTTTGTCCTTCATCTTCTGGGCCGTCTCGCTGCCCAGATGAACCCGGGCATACCGAATGAGGTTGGCTGCCATACCGACCGCGATGGGTGTCGCAAATGATGTGCCGGATTTGTGCTTGACCCTCGGCACGTCCGGGTCGGTAAAAAAGTGGCTAGGCCACGTCGACTCGACTGCCTCGCCTAGCGTGGCGATAGCCGGACTAGTTTCCGCAGCGGGACTGAATTTGGATTTTTCCCCATAGCCTGAGGTTGAGTGTATGCCGATGACTTTGTAGTCGGAGGCGGGATACGCCAGCCCCTGGTTGGCGCCGTCGTTCGATGCCGCGGCAAATATGAGGACGCGTTTGCTGTTCACAAAGATGACGTTCTTGAGTATCTTGCAGTCCTCCGGCTTTTCGCAGGTCCCAGGCTCGCATTTCCCTTCTTCAGCATTTGGATAGCCAATCGATATGGAGACGATATCGACCTCCCACTCCTCGACAGCGTGTTCAAGGGCCTGTTGGTGCCAGTTAGCTGAAATCCTGTCCATATATTGGAACCTGGCGGGAGGGACACTAGACACCTTCGCGAGCAGACACTGAGACGGTGGCTTCAAGCCACCAGCGACCTTTCCCACGTAAAGCTCGGCGTTGGGCGCATACTGGAGAAGTAAGTTTGCGACGAATGTTCCGTGTCCGTCATGATCTGTCACATCGCCGGGGAGACCTGTATCCGCCCAGTTGTATTTCTTTTTGATCCGCTCTTCCACGGCGAATATGTCGTCATGGTCGAGATCTATACCGGTGTCCAACACGGCGATCTTCACAGGCGTGGTGTCCTGAGGATTTTCGCCGACTCTGTCGAAGAAGAGTTTTCTGACCTCTTCGAATTGGCCTTTCCGTTTCTCGTATAAGATACACCTGTCGAGAATGGTGGATGTCAGTCAGACATGCATTCACCTTGCTAAGATCAGACAGAAGAGAGAGACTAACAGGACTAGCACATACTTGCCTGCATCGGGCTCGTCAAAGCCATCGAAGAATTGAGCATTCAGATCGTGTTGTCTGCGATCGGTGGGTCCAGGCCGTCCTTCTTTCCATCAACAGATAAGGTTAGTGTATAAATTCGTCGGCGGATGTAGGTAGTCTATCTCTACCATTGATCTTTGAGCCAGAAACATGTTTGGTCGGTGATGATGGCTGGGGACTTGTCCGCTTTTGACCAGTGGCTATCTGCAGTCTGCGTCTGTTGTCTGGGGGAACCTGGGGATCGGTGACTTCGGGCAGTACATTATAACCATATACGAGCTCTCGCTCCAATGGATAAACTATATAGGAAAGTATATACTGTCGGATTGGCCCCTCCTCGGAAAGCTGCTTGGGTGTTAGCAAACTAGGTGGTGGTTCAAGATCCAAACAGGCGCGGATAGCGTCCGTGAGTCCAGACGTGAGTTTTTTTCCACCACCTCGCCTGTCGTGAGCCTCTAGGCTACGCAGCAGCTTCCGGGCTTCGAATTGGTCCCTGTTCCAGCGGTCACACTGATTTGGGAATTCGGATCTCGAAAACCGGGCACCAGTGACGATTTCGAGGAAGATGATTCCAAGGGCCAGTATGACTGGGTGCTTGTGTGCTTGGAGGTGTGGCTGGCGTGTTGACATGTTGTCAAGTTTTGCGAGTTCCACAGACAGGTAGGGGAAGTTTAGGTCCCAGCGAGAGCGATTTCCCATCATCTGCGGAAAGTAGACGTTGCTGCTGCTCCAGGCCGTCTGCAGCCAAGAGCCCGGGTAGAAGCACAACAATGAGTTGGACAGGGAGTAGCAAAGCAGGAGCTGTTCCTTGGGAGTATATGTCTCAGTGAAGGAACCTGTCACCCCATACTCTAGCAGCCGGTTGAGTGTTTCCATAGATTGGAGGTGGTCTTGAGTGTCGTCCATAGGTCTTGGCGTAAGGTGCCACAACCGGTCGTTCTCGGCCAAAAAGTCCACCTGGACATCATGGCTACGTCTAAGCCGCCAACAAATGTCCTTTTCGACGGCCTCTCGGTCCGATTTGGAGTCACGACGAGTTCTTCCGCCGCCACCGTGTCAGAGATATCTGTTGGCCGTTCAGTCGTGGGTGTGGCCTCACCTGGAATGCTTGACCTCGACGTTGGTCTGTTTCCACCCTGGACTGCTATTGCACACCGGAAAGAGGACCTCGAATGATTGCGTGTGCGGGATGATCGGGCAGCATCTTGTCAGGCTAACCCTCACCTCCCTTGATCGGATCACCTTGAGGTCTCGCTGGGGAGTTCGCTTGGGACAACTGCACTTCCAGTGTCGCTCCAGGAGACTGTAAACTTTGTTGGCTGCCTCTCTGGCACCGCGGCTAGAATGTGTGGAAAGGCTGGGGCTGCTCCCGGCTTCTGTATGCGAATGAGACCTGTAGTAGACGCTGAGGAGGAGTATTGTCGCACGCCTCACGCGGTTCAAGAACTTGTCGCGTTTGCCCGGAGTTTGCTCCTCTGTTTCGTGGAAGAGACGGACTTTACTGCTGAAGAAGCCCAGGTATAGCCTGCATTCTGCGAGCGGTAGACTCGGCAGCTCGGAACAATCGCCCCAGCCTCCCATCCCCTCCGAATCGATGGCAGAGGCCAGGGCATTCAACCGGGGGAAGTGTTCCGGCCGGCTGCTATCATTTTTCGTCTTCATTTTTTGTCAGTCATTCATCGCTCGTATCCAAGGGCTTAATCGTGTCAATAGGTAGTCGAGTGGGGTTAATTCACCCGGCTTGGCCCAGGCATGCTGAGGTCGAAGGGGTTCCACCGCCGCTTTGGCAAGCGGGACTCCAACGCATCAAGCAGCCTGTTGATGTCTTCTTCTTCTTCTTCCAAACCATAGCTCCATTCACCACTGGATTGAGCTACAGCCTGCCCAATGCTGACTAGGTCTGAGTAACATGCTTGTGCATCCCGTCTCAGCTTTGCATTTTGATCCTCATGCTCCAGGCGATCGCAGTAATCCTTCGCCAGGACCCCGAATGCTGGAAGGACTTGACTGATGAGCTTCAACTGCCACATGGGAAATGCTGAGGGAGGTGAGGGTTGGACTACATCCTCGGGGGTGGCGCTGGGGTGAAAGAGGGGTTAGGAATGGCTGAGGCTCCTGAGCATGAATGTTGCTAATGGCGAGGGAGTGAATCGGTCCCTCAGGAGTCAGGACGGAGTGAGGGGAAAGAGGGGGCAATTGAGGAAAAAAAAGGATAGGGCAAGAGAAGCACAAGTGCACGTGAGGTGTGGGAGAGGAGGGGTCGAGTTGCGTTGATCGAGGCGGGGTATCAGCCGCAGCACCACGCACTTCTCCAGGGGCAGCGGCGACAGCTTGCTGCACCGGCCGAGATCTGTCTCTTCTGCTATCAGCAGCAAAGATTCCGGCCAACCGACGGATCAACATGAATTCCGACGGAAGGAATGAACTCGGCCACGGGGACCGCAAAGCTGCGAACCTCACCATGGGCCCGGAGCGACAGGAGGTGGAACTGAATACGACGGCGAACCTGAGGAGCCTGGCCTTGAGCTGCCGGGCACAACTTCGAAGGCTTTCTGAACAGGGAGAAAGCGAGAGAGACTCCACCCGGGTGTCGGACAACTTTTGGGCCTCTCGACAATCTGCCGAATTCGGGTTATGGTGCTTCAAGGTCGGCGTGGACAGGCAGGGACGCGCTTCTATCGACAGAAGGCTCAAGGATGTGCCAGATCTCTGCGACATTTTTAGAAATCTGCTCCATTCGCTGGAGAGCGATTTGAAGGGTACGACTCTGGTTGCACTCCAAGGAAGTCCTTCAAGGATAAAAGCTTATATCCCGCCCTTTTGCGCAGAGTTTGGGCAACCCACGATGGAAGTTACAACATCGTCAACCGACAGCGTCCCGAGAGATGTGGGCTCGGACTCCTCGTCCTCGCTGTCGTTTGATTCTCTCTCCTCCTCCGAGGGGTCCGAAGGCCAAGCGAGGGGACCGCCAGGGCGTAGCCAGATCGACCAGAGGAACGAGACACTACGCAGGCACATCGAGCATACAATTGATCGACTCCAGGGCCACACACTCTGGATCATACAAACAGCCGCCAGACATCGACAGGAGCGTGTGGAAGTCTACCTCAAGAAAGATGGCCCAAAGGTTGCTTACGAAGCATTCAAGAGAATTGCGGCGCACAGAGCCAATAACCAATTCGAAAAGGCGTCCGAGGCTATCAAAACAAGGATAGCTGAGTCTTTTGCGAGGCGGAGGATAAAGTTCGACTACTTGAGAGACCATCAGAGAAAACGGGCCAGGGAGAGCTCCTTGCCTGAGCCACACAGGGCACCTCGCGACGTCGTGTCACTACCAAGACATGACAGCAAATCGGCAGCGGCGGCACCCGAGGGATATGCCCAGCCCGGGCAGTCACCGGAGGCGACGAAGGGCCCTCACGAGATGGGTGCCGTGAATCAGATGACAATATTGTCTGACACCGAGATCACACAGTTAGACCCCCTTCCCGCCGCAGGGCTCCAAAGAAGGCCCGAAAGCGTGACATCAGTCGTGATCCGAGGTGTCGAGTTCCCCCCACCTCCGAAAATCACCGACGCCAGCTTTGAGTGTCCTTACTGCCGTTTTGAGCTTAGGGCTAGTGACGCCGAAATAAGCCGCTGGACGTAAGTTGTTTCTGTCTGCATGGTCTTATTAGCGCTCAGCTGTCCCAAGAACATCGAACCTTGGCTGCATTACTAATAGAAGATGCCATGGGCAACAGCCAGCACGTCATGCATGACTTTGAGCCGTACTTCTGCACAGTAGAGCACTGCGAAGCTCCATTCAGCTCTCCAGACACATTCGACGGCCTAATGGCGCATCTACAGAGCCATGTACCTGTGAGATACCACTTCGATATGCCGGACGGCGAGCATAGGGAGTTCGATCACGAGAGTGAGCTCGAGGATCAAATCAAAACGACCGAGGAGTATAGATCTATGCCGAGCAACTCTTTGGACGCCTTCAAGGCGGCCAGTCGGGGCAGAGGCATCTTCACATTTTCTATCTGCCCCTTCTGTGGCGGTTATCCCGATTCTCTGGAAAAGAGCGGCTTCCTCGACCCGAGCCAACTGGAGAGCCAGAGAGAACTCAGATACCACATCAAACAACATATGCAGCTTATTGCCCTCTTTTTGCCACCGTACAGGGAAGACATCCCTGAAGACGACGACGACGCCGAGGGAACTTCCAGCGCTCGCCGGCAAAGCACCAGCGAAACCAGCTCGGCAGACCAGGGGGAAGCCGTCATGATTTGCGGTCGGGACGAGTGTGACTGCCAGGATATTGCGGAGCAATCCGTAGTCAAGCCTCTTGACCTTGAAAATAACAACGACTATTGGATCGCAATTTTCCAGGGGACTGGTTTATACGACCGCTCCGGTGTTTCGAACGACTACTTCCTCGACATGGACAACATAAAGTTGGGGCCCTTCATCGCCCGGTGGAAGTCTCAAAACATCGGTAAGACCTCTGCACAGTGGTCCCAAATGCAGCTGCCTCGAAGCTCAGGACTTACAAAGTACTAGGACCCGCTCACGCATCAGCCGGCGATATGATCAACTTTCACTTCGGCGACCAGTCTACTACGCGCCCGCGGTGCCACACCATACCGTTTCCGCGCAGTACAGCCCTTGTAGAGCGCGGCGGCATCTTCTCAGAGCTCGAGAGGCTGCTCCCGCCGCGGGCCGAGTGGCAGAGCGCGGCGCTGTGGGGCCTGGGTGGGTCCGGGTGAGGCTGCCTCAATCCAAACTTTTGTTGGGAATAACGACTGACGAGCAAGCAGGAAAACGCAGGTGGCGCTCGAGTATGCGTACCGCCGGTGGTACAACAGCGCACCCTGCTCGGTCTTTTGGGTGCATGCCGATAACGAGGCGACGTTTACGCAGGACTACCAATCGATTGCGAAGAAATTGCGCTTGCCGGCGAATCTGCAAGACGAAGAGCTGCTAGCGGCGGTGCGGGACCGTATCGAAGCTGAGCCTTCCTGGGTGCTCGTCCTCGACAACGCCGACAACCTCGGATTGTTTGGCGTGGGTTGGAGAAAGCCGGGCGCGAGCAGGCAGCCGCATCGGGCGACGACAGATTATGCACCAAAAAATCTGCACCAGTTCGTCCCCCGGAGCCCTACCGGAACGGTTTTATGGACGAGCCGTGACGAGAGGATCGCCGGCAGCCTCGTTGTTGCCGGGCAAACAATCAACGTGGCGCGCATGGAGGCAGGTGAAGCGGTGAAACTGCTTGAAACAATAAGAAATCGAGCCATCGACGACACGGAACAGGACAACGCCTCAGCGTTACTTGCCGAGCTCGACTGGCTCCCGCTCGCGATTTCGCAAGCTGCGGCATACATGCGGCGGACGCGCACGCCGATCGAAGAATATCTGTCGAAGCTGAAAGGAGGGAAAAGACGATGGAGGATTCTTCGAGCATCGGAACCTGACGTTCATCGGAGATGCGAGGTATCGAATAGCATCCTGGAGACGTGGGGCATTTCGATCGAGCATATCCGACAGGAAAATGAAATGGCATACAACATTCTGCATATTTTGGCGTTTTTTGGACAACCAGAATATTCCTGAGCAGATGATGAAGAAGGCGGCAAAACATTTCGAAAGCCGGCGAGCACAATTAAGCGATAACGAAGACGAGAGCGACAGTGAGGACGAAGACGCTATAGACGCGATCACGCGCCTTCGGGAGTTTTCCTTTTTAAGCCTACGCGCATCCGACTGGGGCCGTGCGTATGAGATGCACAAATTGGTGCAAGAGGCCGCGCGATACCGCCTGCGAGCGAAAGAGGACGAAACGCTTTTTGCGAAAGCAGCGCTCCGTATTGCCGACAATCTTTTTCCGGAAAGACAGCGGGAGCTTTGGGAGGAAGCAGAAAAATACCTTGTGCACGCGCAGCGAGCGGGCGAGTGGGCGGAACTATGTGGGGAGGAGGAGGCAGCGGCGTTGTTAACTCGAGTGTCGAGCTATTTATACGACCGCGGCAGGTGGAGAGACAGGGAGCCAGTTGATAAGAAAGCGTACGAACTTCGGAGAGAGGTGCTCGGCGATAGGCATCCCGATACGATCCAAAGCATGGCGTCGCTCGCAACGACATACCACAGTCAAGGGAGGTACGACGAGGCAGAAAAAATGAGGGTGGAGGTGCTAGCATTACAGCGCGACATGCTCGGCGACAAACATCCCGATACGATCGGGAGCATGGCGGACCTCGCAACGACATACCACAGTCAAGGGAGGTACGACGAGGCAGAAAAAATGGAAATAAAGGTGCTAGCACTGCGGCGGGACGTGCTCGGCGACAAGCATCCCGATACGATCGGGAGCATGGCGTCGCTCGCAACGACATACCACAGTCAAGGGAGATACGACGAGGCAGAAAAGATATCGGTGGAGGTGCTGGCACTGCGGCGGGACGTGCTCGGCGACAAGCATCCCGATACGATCGGGAGCATGGCAGACCTCGCAACGACATACGAAGATCAAGGGAGGTACGACGAGGCAAAAAAGATATCGGTGGAGGTGCTGGCACTGCGGCGCGACGTGCTCGGCGACAAGCATCCCGATACGATCGGGAGCATGGCGGACCTCGCAACGACATACCACAGTCAAGGGAGGTACGACGAGGCAGAAAAAATGGAAGTGGAAGTGCTGGCATTGCGACGCGACGTGCTCGGCGACAAGCATCCCGATACGATCGGGAGCATGGCGGACCTCGCAACGACATACGGCTGTCAAGGGAGGTACGACGAGGTAGAAAAAATGCAAGTGGAAGTGCTGGCGCTGCGGCGGGATGTGCTCGGCGACAAACATCCCGATACGATCCGGAGCATGGCGGACCTCGCAACGACATACCACAATCAAAGGAGGTATGACGAAGCAGAAAAAATAAATATGGAAGCGCTGGCGCTGCGGCGGGATGTGCTCGGCGACAAACATCCCCATACGATCCAAAGCATGTATGGCTTAGCTTTTACGTGGAATAGCCTGGGCCGGTACGATGAGGCATTGGCGTTAATGGACGACTGTGCCCGGTTACGGAGCCGCGTCCTTGGTCCGAACCACCCTGACACGCAGGATTCCCTACGTTTGTTAACTTCGTGGAAAAGAGATTAGCAGAAGGCGGCATACAGACTGGCTGCGGTAAATACAATGGTTCCGACTGGCAGATTCTGTGGTTCTTAGCTCGTAGATCTGCTAGTCGACATTTCTCCGCCAGCATCGTGGCGCAATTGTCTCTACCCTGCAAACGGATAAGGCTCGCCGGACTACGCTCCAATTACAAACGAGGAAGCCGGCGTAAACCTAGTGGATTGCGAGCCAAACTGCCACTGGTCACCACGCTCTAAACCTGCTGCACCTCTGGCGCCGTCCATCAGCTCCGAGCTACGAAGCAGCGCGTGAGGCAACGATTGGTAGGTAAAGCCCTGCCATCAAACGCAGCTGTGTCGTCCCACACTCCCGCATACGCCCCGCCTTGCCAGCCCGGATCTCCTGGCTCCCGGCTTCGATGCTGTCCTAGCACGCCGAAGCCGTCGACTGATCACCAACCGGCTGCCCTACGCCCCTGGCCGATGCGACCGCACACCCGCTCGACGCCGCGCCCTGGTCTTACCTCACGGACCTCGACGCCAAGCACGTACGACCGACGCAATCGACATCACCGGTACTCGTGGGTACAAGCACAATCAGGACGTCAAACGCAGTCGATAATCTTGGCGTTACCAGGAAGGGCCCTGTTCAAATCGGATCCCGATCTAACGGCCAGAAAGTCCCTTCCTCGCCGCGTAGCGGACTACGGGGGTGCTGGACATTATTTCCCTGTGGTCCTAACAACGATGAATTCCTTAGTGGGCGATGAGGCGAGCAGATTGCTGTGGATCTCACTGCGGCAAGGTGCGTCGGCTGACCAGTGCGTCTATGCGCCGGTAAAGTATCATAGCTTCTGCTCTGGTGCAGCTGGACAAAAGTCGTCCAAAGCACACTCCCTGGTGGCTCTAACGCGCACGGCAACCTCGCTACCCAGCTATCTCGGTAAGCAGATGACGGGGAGACGGAAGGCACACCCTCCACCCCGCCGCACAAAGGGTTGACCCGCATGTCCGCAGACCCCACCTACCGAAGGTAGGCATCGATCCGCCCCACGCCCTCCTGTGGCCGCCCTGCTCGATCTGCTGACGCCGACCAGATCTCGGCGTGTGACTACGCCGGACCGCAGCGTCCATCACGCCTCGTCCCAGCCTCCGAAGCGACGTCGACCTTTGGGATCGCCGTCCCTGCCTACCGGTCCGCCTCCGTCACGCTCTCGATGCCCAGGTCCTGCGATCCAAAAGCGCCGAAAGCCGTTCGGCTGGCAGTCATCATCTTTCGTCGTCTTCCGCCGGCATATTAAATGATAGACAGAAAAGACGCAGCCCACAGAACGGGCGGATAGGCTACACCTGAAAGTGACGTCCTCACAAGCGGAAAAGGAGGGAAAATAAAGAATACGAAACGTTAACTTTGGAAAGCGCGCGAAGAGGATGAAATAAAGATTAGGAAAGAAAAGAAAACGTCCCTCCTCACCCTGCCGAGTGCGGCACAGGGAAAGGAGGAGGGGCCCTTCGACGATGTGCGGCCGGCCCGCGGCGTCGTACGCCACGCGTCCCTCGTCCACGGCCCGCCTTAACGGCTCCTCCAATACCACACGATTTCCGGTCTCGGCATCCCAGTCCCAACACTCGCGCATCCATCGCCACCTCAGGTAACCGCGCAGCTTCTTATCCGCCGGTAACATACGCATCCACTCGGGCTGCATTTCGTAACAGTCGTGGCCCGCCGTTTCCGTCGCGCCACGCTCGCGCCCGATGCGGCCTAGCAGCCGGTCGCGATAAAAGATGCGCCAGCAGTCGAGCGCGTAGGCCCCCGGCGTGATGTGGCCGATCTCCCAGGTCGTGCCGAGGGCGCGCGCCGGCTCGCAGACGTCGGCCTGGCAGGAGCGGCCCGGCACACACTGCTGCTTTCCCATGCTGTGTTCCCATGCAGCAAACTCCTTTTCTTATCTCGCGTTTGGTACGAATGGTCATTATTTGTCTTCTCTCGGCCTTTCGGGCCAGGTCGAGGTCGACGCGAAGGATAAGAAAGGTGCTGGTCATCAAAGTGGTCGTTTCGGATAGCCGGACGGCGGGACTTGATCATCCGTTCCTCCGCCGAAAGCCGGCCGTCGCCGATGCAATCGGGGCACTGGCTCGGGTCCATTAGGGGCGAGAACGCATCGGGCGAGAGATCCGGCGACTCTTGCTTGATGGGGAGTTCGATCTGCCTTCGCTATCGGATAAGGTTGCGCCGATAGATTTCCGCTTTTTGCAAAGAGACGCCATCAGGCATGTGAACATATTATGGAAAACAGCATAACTAGTTAACTAGTTAACTAACTATTAAAAAAAAGATACCAAGCAAAAAAAGGCTCGATTGGTTTGGCCGCAACAGACGAAAACCGTAAGCAACCAGGTTTTCGATTTCTTTGCGATATATGCCAAGGATGATCGAACTGCAGGGAGCGGCGTTCTGAATGGCTTGGCTAGCAGGGCGAGTTGAGCTAAAGTGAAAAGTGCGACCGACTGCGGGTGCGGGGAGCAGAGCCATCACCCGTTTGGCCAAAAGGTGCAGCCAAACGGCCTACGCGCCCGCGGCTTAATCTCCGTGCTAGCTGATAGGACCTAGATAGACGCCCAATTTGCCCTCAGCCGCACGAGATAACCCCTCCCGGCGATGTTCTGCTTTCCCCTTTTCCCCTCGATCACCTTCTACGATCACGCACAAGGCTGCTTAAATAATAAAGGAAAGCACATCATACAGCTCTGCTGTTTTCGTTTGACGTACATCTCCTAACCTACGGCAAGGGTTTCACCCAGACCATCATCATGTCTTTTGCATTGGCAAAGGCCGCGCGGCTGAAGCCCGAGATTCGGCTGGCGCAAGAAATCTCAAAGTTCGAGGCCACCCTGTCCGACGAGCAGAAAGCGACCTGCAATTCCTGCAAGTCCCAAGCGCTGGCATCACCGCCAGATGCTGGCGATATTATGCGATTGACGGCCGAGGTTGACCGTCGCGCTGCCGGAAGGGGGTACCGTGGCCGATGTTTCGGGCCTCGCTTCTCCAATATCCTAGAGACCATCCAACCGTTCGCCGCTCTTGGGGATACCGTGGTCGGCGGTTCTCAGAACATCATTGCCTGCGGCGTCTGGTCACTCGTGAGGATGACATTACTGGTAAGCCACTCACCTCCTCAGCCCTATGCGTTCTCTCTTATTCTAACATTTCGTAGTTGGTGGTGAACTTCCATTCCTACTTCGAGAAGCTGTCGGATCTTTTTATGGCCATCGGACGGTCTTCTCCCCGCTACCAAATGATGGCACTACTCTACCCACGATCCGAAAGGCTACAATCATACCTCTGCGAATACTTCATCGTGGTCGTCCGTCTCTGCCATCAGCACCTAAAATTAATACAAAAGTCGACACTCGGACAGCTTATGTCTTTCATCAGCGATTCGGATTTGAAGACCTACCAGTCAGATACCGATTCATGGGCGTCGCTGATTAAAGAGGAGGTGAATGCTCTCATGGCGAAGGATGTTGCAGAGCAGAGCTCCCGGACCAGAACTCTCCTCCAGTTTTCGAAATCGGAAACCCATCGCAAAAAGTTCAAGGCCTACACCCGCATTCTCAACGCTTGCGCGACATACAACTACCAGAAGGCCTGGAAGGAGACACGAAAGGCCGGATATACCACCCTTCTCGATCGAGCGCACGAATACCAAAATTGGAAAGTCCAGCCCAGTTCCTGTACACTTGTATGTACTGGCAAACTGGGGTCCGGCAAGTCCGTCCTGTTGGCCAACATGGTCGATGATCTCAACCTCCATGTTCAAAAAGAACCGCTCCCGGTCGCGTACTATTTTTGCCGACATGACAACTCCGAGAGTTTACAGGCACGCACGATAATGGGCTGCCTGGCTCGGCAGCTGCTAGGCCCACCTCCTGGCCCTGCAGGGCTCGAATGCTTAATCGACGCGATAACTCCGACAATGGACCTTGATGGAGTGACGAATTTACTCCTGAGGGCCCTGCCAACAAGAGCCTACGTCGTCGTTGATGGACTGGATGAATGCGACAATGATCAGAGGCAGAGCTTGATTCGTGCATTGTGGCAACTTCAAGAAGAATCTTCCCTTCTGGTGTGTATTTCGTTCAGAGTTGAGCCCGACACCGCCTCACGACTACGCACAGAGGCTTTTGCTAGGCCCAGCGTCTTGCAAATTCCCGGCGACAATCCCGACATCGGGCAATTCATCAATGCAGAATTGAAAAGGCGCATAGTGTCTGGGGAGCTGAAAATGGGGGAACCAGGCCTTATCCTAGAGATCCAGGATGCTCTGGTGCGGGGTGCCCATGGAATGTTCCTCTGGGTTGCGCTTCAGATCGAGTCTCTGTGCAGCGCAAAGACAGACGAAGCGATTCGACAAGCCTTGGCCGACCTATCAAAAGATCTTCCAAGCACATTTTCTCGCATTCTACAGAAATCGGAATCGCTTGGGAAGGACTACCAACAAAAGACACTCAAGCTTGTCATCGCCGCTCGCCATCCCCTCACAACAGACGAACTACGGGAAGCCCTGAGTGTGAACCCGGGGAATACGGATTGGAATCCGGCCCAGCTTCTCAACGACGTCTATTCAGCGCTGGCCTGCTGCGGAAGCCTTGTCACTGTCGATGAGGAGGACTTCACGGTGCGATTGGTGCATCACAGCGTCAAACAGTTCCTGCTTGGCGGGCTCGGAAGCTCGTCCGGCGGCATGTTTACCCTCGGCAGTGCAATGGCAACAATGGGACACATTGTTGTCACCTACCTCAACTACGGGGTTTTCGACAACCAGTTATCCACTTCGGTGGCTCCGCAAGTAATGGCCGCGACAGTACCACGCAAGATCATTCAGTCCGCTGTGGGCACCTCAGCCTCAGTTCGTGTTCAGGAGCTTGCATTGCGGCTTCTAGAATCCCACAAGCAATCCGAATACAATATAGGCCCTCTTCTCAGGAACGAAAGCAAGCGTTCCAGTCCGCACTACACAAATCAGTTCAACTTCTTCCCTTATGCGAAATTGTATTGGTTTCATCATATCAGGAGCATCCCAAAGGAGGAACCAGTTATATACGGACAGCTTCTCAAAATACTAAGGAGGGGGGTAATTAACATAAATGTAAAAGATGAAGATGGTTCGACGCCGCTCCAGTGGGCTGCCGAAAATGGGCACGACGCCGTCGCGCGGCTGCTGCTCGACAGGGGCGCCGACAAGGACGCCAAGGATGGCGACGGGTGGACGCCGCTGCACCGTGCCGCAAAGGCCGGGCACGAGGCCGTCGCGAGGCTGCTCGTGCAGGCGGGCGCCGATAAGGACGCGGAGGATGGCTACGGGAGCACAACGCCGCTGCAACTGGCCGCGGAAAACGGGCACGAGGCCGTCGCGAGGCTGCTCGTGCAGGCGGGCGCCCATAAGGACGCGGAGGATGGCTACGGGAGCACAACGCCGCTGCAACTGGC